TGCTGCGCAGTGCGCATTTTGCATTGATGTTACTGCCCACAGAGCAGGGAAACAAACCACGGGTGGCAAATCACCTCCACCTGAGAAGAACCGATAGACGAGAGCCGAGTGGAGTCGCACTTATCAATGGCAAAACAGCTAAAGATTCATCTCCAGTCATCCCAATGATGTGAGAAAACTTTACTTTTAAGCAGTATAAAAACTAGAAAGCAGTTTCCTCAAATGATAGAGGTGGTCATTTTATATATATATATATATGGTGGTGGCCATTTTGAATTTTGAATTGGCGACACCATTTTTGATAGAGACCTTTCTTACAGCTTGATGCAGCCACACACCAAAATGAATTTCAATTCAGTTTAGTTTATTTATACAGCATCAAGCCACAACATAAGTTGTCTCAAGGCACTGAACAAAAACATTCACATACATAAAAAGCCAATTAGTAAAAGTTATCTGTCCGAGGAAGCAGCAGATTGTGTTGAATCTTCACTTTGTCACAGTCTCTCATCCTGAGCAAACATAAAGGAGACAGTGGAAAGGAACAACTCCCTTTTAACAGGAAGAAACCTCCAGCAGAACCAGGCTCAGGACGAGCAGCCGTCTGCTTCGACCGGCTGGGTTTGAGAGGACAGGAAGGAGAAACAAACGAACACAGAATGGCAGGTTCAGGCGTACTTTCATTTGGAGGAAAGACCGAAAACAACAAAAAAAATGAAAACACATTAAAGATAGAAATAATTACAAATATAAACAGGTAGAATAGAGGAAGTAAAGACAGAAGCAGAGTGAGGAAATGTGCTCAGTTTGTCCTCCAGCAGTCTAAGCCTATAGCAGCATAACTAAGGGATAGCTCAGGAAACTCAAGCCAATCCCAACTATAGGATTTGTCAAAAATGAAAGTCTTAAATCTTAAAACTGGACCATGTGTCAGCCTCACGGAGAGAAACTGGAAGTTGGTTCCACAAGAGAGGAGTCTGATAACTGAACGATCTGCCTCCCATTCTGCTTTTGGAAACTCTAGGAACCACAAGTAAACCTGCAGTCTGAGAAAGAAGGGCTCTGTTAGGAAAATAAGGAACAATAAGATCTGTAATATAAAATGGAGCTAGGTTGTTGAGGGCTTTGTAGATTACAAGTAAGATTCTGAATTTGACAGGGAGCCAATGGAGAGAAGATAAAAATGGAGAGATGTGTTCTCTCCTCCTAACTCCAGTTGCAGCAGCACTTTGGATCAGCTGAAGATTTTTTAAAGAAGTGTTTGGACACCCAGATAATAAACCATGTAATAGTCCAACCAAAGTGACAGCCATCTTTGATTTCCGGTGACATCCAATATTAGAAAGGAACCTCTTACATCTAGATGCAGCCACACCAAAATGGAAAGTTATCATGCTCACAACGGGCACGGACGGATGGAGGATATTTCCATATCCCCCTATTTACTCCATGACGGGGGACAAAAATGCACAAAAGATCAAATGAGATCTGAGATTTAACAGAGTTATAAAGTGATCACAAGAGCAACAACTGATTTGGTGATTTCAATTTTTTTTTTGTCTGCATGCAGAAGAGAAATCATCTTCATCACTGTGCTACTGCAACTTGTTCAAAAGCGAGCCTATTCCTATCAGTTCGGGTCATTACCTGTAAAATGCTCCACTGTATGAAACTCCTAATAAATCACATCTGCAGGCAGGAACTCCACCAGCTTTGTGCTGGGATTTTATGAGTAACTGGGTCTCCGTTAAGACTCTGCAAATCTCCACATTAAAGCCTGTAAAACATTACAACAATCGTTTTTACAGAGTGTTTCATCATCGTTTCCAAGTTCATAACGAGGTCCTGCCGTTTCTTCTCTCCTTTAAGGCTTTTACGTCAACAAGCAAGAGAAAAACTCGCTCTCCTCCAGCATCGTCAAGTGCAAACTGTTTTTTTAACCTTAAACTCCGTGTCAACAAGCAAGACCAGGAAGCTAAGCTGACACTCCCATTCCTCAGCAACATTTACAGCCAGCAGGTCATTTTCAGAGGTTTAACACTGAAAAACATCATTTATAGCTGTTAAAATCAAAACCACTGTAAGAAAGGCTGCAAATAAGGATCATCTTCCAAGAAAACATTGAACATGAAATTACAGATATTGATTTTGAAAGACTTTGCTGAAAAATGCTTCAGGAGTTAAAAATGAGTTGTTAAAGACGCAGAACATTAGCGGACAAGAAAAAAATGCAATAGCTATCTAATTTGAAATAAAAACACTAGCTAAACATTCAAGTTAATAAGTTGCAAAAGATGTACTCAAAGTAAAACAAGTCAATTTTAACACCGTGAAAGAACAAGAAATGTGGCCCAGCTGTGAAACACGAGAAACAGCAGCAACTGAGTTAATTGATAACCATTAACGGATATCTATTAGTCTTTAATGGATGCTCACTTTATGAGCTATAATGCATTTTCCACATATTCTCAGGTGGAAAATCGAATTTAAATGATTTGCAAACCTACTTGGTCACATATTAATGTGCATTTTAACAAAATGCCAACTCACAGGGGCTGGCTTCAATTTGACAGAGTCATTAAAGTGGCTGTAAGAGAATAATTTGCAATAAAAAGAAATAAAAATACAAAGTAAAACACTTAAAACCCGGGCAATCGTGTGATCAGGCGGTTAAGCACTAATTAGTCACCACCGTTTCAGTTCCTAGATTAATTTAATAATTAAGTACACTGATAATTAAATGAAAAAAATTGATGTTGTGAAAAATGTTTCACTAATTTAAAATAATCTTATAGTAAAATATTAGAGGATGACAAAAATACCATAATAATAGTGCACGTGTTTAAGAAAGTAAATACGAATACGACTGAACTGAATTAATTTTCGTCTACATTATGAGCATAAAGTGTTTCAGTGTTTCGACCCACGACGTCCAACCATCACTTGACCTTTACACACAAACTGCTCTGAGCAGCCGCTTGCTGCAAACTGTTCATGCAGGAGACAAAAAGAAATAAAATCATCTTTGGTCATAAGCAAACATTTCAAACGGAGAATCTTGGAGTGCTGCTGCACTTTTCCTCTTTATATACCTGACTTTAATTACTGCAGGAGCGTCGCTTGGCTCAGCGAAGGGGAAATTAATGAGAGGGATGAGAAACCTGATTACACGCACATCTTTTCACAATGAACAGAAATGGTAACGCAACTTGTGGGCTAAAGGCCTAAAATAGAGAATATGACATGAACTGTATAACAGTTGCTGCACAAACGTGAACAACGGTGAGCTAACGCTGCCGTAAGATGATAATTGTGCTTCTGTGGCTAAGATGTGAATTATGATGTTTACCAGTGATGCAAAGTAATTTTGATGCATTTCTCATGAACCAATCCAGGTGAGCTTCACAAGGTGCAAGACATTTGTTGATTCTGTTTACGGTCTTCCTCAAAGAATAAAATGAATAAAAATTAGAGAAATTGCATTTGAAAATGCAGGGTGACTGCTTATTGCTGAAGAACTTGCTGAAAAACAGCTGAAATTAGCTAAAACATGCTGAAATGTAGCTAAAAAGGAAGAATATGTTTAAACTAGATGATGAAAGCAGAAAAAACATTTGCCTATTTAGGCTGAGAGATCCAGAAATTAGAACAAGAAAGTGGAAATGATCTGATAACAGCTGAAAATAGCATATATAAAAAAATCAGCTGAAAAGTAGCTTAAAAAGCAGAAAGAAGCTTAAATTACCAGACGGAAGTGGACAGAGCACAATTTTGCTTAATAGGGCTGAAAAAAGTTGAAATGAGTGCAAAAAATGTGGAATTAGCTGCAAAGGCTAAAATTAGCATAAAACAGCTAAAAACTAGCTGAGTAAACTAAAACTAGCAGAAATAAGCTTAAAGGAGCACAGCAAGCTAAAATTAGCAGAAATAAGTCAATTGGGCTGAAAGTAGCAGAAATTACCCTGAAAAACTTGAATTTGTTTGAAAAGAGCTGAAATTAGCTAAAAAAATGCTAAAAAGCTAGCTGGAAACGTAGAAAAAGCTTAAATTTTCAGAAGAAAGCGGAACATGTTTGCCCAATCAGGCTAAAAGAGTCAGAAATGAGCACAAAATACGGAAATTATCTGAAAAAAGTTGAAATTAGTAAAAAATAAAGTGATGAAAAGTAGCTAAAAAAGCAGAAAGAAGCCGAAATTACCAAAAGGAAGTGCAGAGAGCACATTTTTTGCTGAATTAGGCTGAAAAAAGTTGAAGTGAGAGCAAAAAAAAAAAAAAAGTGGAATTAGCTGAAAAAGCTAAATAGTAGCTGAAATAACAGAAAAAGCTGAAACTTGCAGAAATAAGCTGAAAAGAGCATAACAAGCTGAAATTAGCAGAAAGAAGTTAAAAGATGCACAAAAATGCAGTAGTTAGCAGAAATAATCTGAAAGGAGCAAAGGAGAAAAATGAACGTAGCTGATTTTTTTTTTCTATTTGCACAAGGAAGCTGAAAGAAGCTGAAGCAGAACAAAACCTGAAAGGAGCAGTAAAAGGTTGTAAACAGCTCCAAAGTTCTGAAGGATGTAAAATGAGCTCAATCCATTTTCTATGATGAAAAAATGTCAGAAAAAGGCTAAATATTTCAAAAAGCTAAAGTTGCAAAAGTCATAGCAGGATTGTCCTGAAAGAGCCGAACGTTTTGATTTATGATTTGTTGAAATAGCTGAAAACAGTGGGACGAGACTCGCGTCGAAAAATGTACGGAAGAAAAGTGGATCACAAAAGTGTGAATAAGTGTTCACACAGGAAGACAGTGACCTACTAGGAAATGTGCCAACAATCTGTTAAAACAATAATCCTCGTGCACCTGACTGCATTAAACATGAATGAAAAACGAGTCCTTGCTGTGTAAAGTTGTAAAGTTTAAGCTCAGAAACATAAAACGCCATTAGGGATGGAAATGATTAGAGGAAGCAGAGCATCTTTTCACAGCAGACTTACTTGAGAGTGAACTGTTCAACGGTGGAGTTGGGCATCAGGTACAGCAGGATCTTCAGAGTTTCTCCAGGCTTCAGGGGCTTCTCTGGCAGTCTGAGGAACATGTTCTTGTCCAACTGTTTGTCCACCAGCAGCTGCTCCTGGCTGGCCTGGTACAGGCTGATACTCCCAATGCGCAGCAGAGGGTGCTGCGGCAGAGGCTCTCCCCGGGACGGGCCGCCCCCTCTTTGACCCTCGCTGCACTCCCCGTCCACATTAGGCTCATGCAGCGTGTAGTAGAGCTCAGCCTGAAGGGTCTCACTGGTCAGCCCATCCAGAAGCCCATCGCCGGAGCCTTTCCTCCGACCCAGAGGGGCGACATTCGTGTTGAACCAAGACGGAGGCAGCTCCAGCTGGGCCAGGCACTGCGCCAGGTTGCCTCTTAGGCGACAGGATGTCTTAATTTCACGAACGTCTCGGAAAGCGTGCAGGCGGATGCACGGCAGGTTGTCCTGAGCCTTGAAGTCGTCCCAGTCGCGTCCAGCAATATAGAAGAACACCTGGACGGTGGGGTTGTTGGAGAAGACCCTCGCTTGGACAATAAAAGCCCGCACCTTCCAGCCAACTGTCAAATGGCCCGGAATATCCAGAGGGCTGGCTGGCTGGAGCAACTCCTTGGACAAAGCCTGGTCCTGGGCAAAAGGCCCGAAGCTTATGTTGATGGCAGGGAGGTCTTTTGTCTGAAAAACCACAAAACTCTCCGAGCGCTGCAGCGGATGTCCAGTGGAGCTGCTGCTGCTCTTACTGCTGCCGCCAACTGTCTGTCCTGTGATCTGGGCCTCCCGCAAGAAGAAGGCCAGTTGTGCGTTGGACATTTTGAAGTTGGCAGGCAGATGCACGCTTGGGGGTGAAGGGCTGGCTGTCATTGCTGAGGAGCTGAAGAGGGTGCCTGAGCTGGTTGGAGAGATTTTACCTGCAAGAGCTGCAAAAAAGAGAAGAGAAGGGGAAGGTTAACATCTGAAAAATAACTTCCTTTGTTTGTTGTTGTTTTATAAGTAAGGCTAGAAAGGATAAACACACAGAGCCAATACAATCAAAGAAATAATTCAATCAGGAAGTGACACAGATCTGCTTTATTCTGCCAGCTGTCTGGGGTCAACACATGCTCACGCTGTAATTACGTTACCGCTGTTGCACCTCCGAAGCACGGGGCTGTTTATATGGCGTGCATTTGTTGTTGTGGGATTAACATGTGCCTTCAATTAATGTTTTAATTGTGTTTAAATTCAAGACAAAAGTCTTTAAAACCTTGAAAACGTGGAACCATCGAGCCTCATGATGAACATTAGAGCCATAAATTAAAACATAACGTTCAAATTGTAAAGTTTGTTTTTTTATGTGACGCTACCTGTTGAGGAAAATAAAACTTTTAACAGAAAAAGTGGATAACTTATGAAGCGCAAACAGAATAAATGTGACATACTTATCAGAATGACCCAGAGTTGAGCACAAACACACAGTTTCCAGTCCCCATAGTCCAAATCAGAGATTAAAAGTTCCATATTCCAAGTGGTTTTATCATCGATGTCTCATCCTTTAAATGTAGTTTTCTTTTTTAAGGACAAATGCACTTTTAACTCCTCAAAAGTCAAAGCTGTTTAACTCCAGAACTGTTTCCTGTTCAGAAAAACAGAATGAATGACTCCAGAAGCAAACGGCTCCTCGCTCGGCCGTCCTCTTGCTGCTGCACTGATGAGCTTCTTGAACTTGTGCTTTCTCTAATGCCTCGTCAGAAAGTCGTGGTGTGAGAGCGGCTCAGCCCCACACACACAGCGGCTCTTTCACTCCCAGGATGTGCACGGCTGCAGGACAGACTCTGATAGACAGCCTGAGCCCTCCTCCCTCGGCTGGTGGGCTGTACGAGAACTAGAGACAAAGCCTCTGACGCCGCCCTGCACTGCCACACCTAGACTCAAGTCTATAATCACTGCTTTAGCTCCGGGTGATAGTCAAGACACGCAGCCCTCAGAGGACTCAACTTACAAACACGCACACACGCACGCAGTGACACACGCAGGGAGGCAAGAGCAGCAGCACTCTGCTCATTTCATCCTGCCTCTCTGAACATGCTCAGACAGACTCTTATTGCCACAGTGTGTATAATGTTGTGTGTGTGAGAGGAAAGAAGGGGGGATGGATTGGCTGGATATCTTGAAGCAAAGGGAGAAGGAGTGAGAGGAAAAAGGAGGGATTAGATAAATGTTATTGATGAATTAGTTTAACTATGCTTCCCATCCTCTTCCCCCTCCATCCCCCCCTGCTCCCTCTTTGCTGTGCCTCACTGAGAATGAGGGGGGTTACCGGCACAGAGGGGGAGGGGGTATCTGCTTCACTCACATGTGCCTGGAATTCCCATAATAAAAGAGAGGAATCCGCAGATGTGTGTGTGTGTGAATGGCAAACAGTGGGAGGACCCTGAGATGGAGCGACTGCCGGAGACTCTTACAAATGACCAGCCATGGAGGAGGCTGGAGCAACTAACGACGAGAGAGCCCACTTACACAGAGTCTGCTCTTTACTGAGCAAAAGCTCTTGACCTCACGGCAAAGTGTGCGTTAGTGAGTCTGCACTTGTCTTTATCAAAAACCTGCAAACCTTCTGCAGAAGAAGCTCCTCTCCTGCGTGAAGCTCTGGGCTCCACACGCAGAGCCGCTGCACAAACCGCCCAACGTTGCTGCATATTTTGCAAACCACACAGTTTAACAAAACTGCACGACCCGAGCGCTAATCCTCGCCTCAGGACAGGATAGAATATCAGCCTCACTTATAAAGACGCACTTGGTCTGCCTGCCAACTCCAACAATGAAAAAAGGTGTATTTGCTTCCTCCATGTTAAAGGTCATCAGCAAAATTTGCTCAAGGGCAGGAATTTCTCAGGAGTGTCGGCTGAGCAGCCACATTTTTATACAATTATGACCAGTGTGTTTCATTGATTTCACTTTCTGCTGTCCTAAATAATTTGTCGTGCTCTTTTATTATTCAAAGGTGTTAAATAATTTACACCTTTTCTTTTTAATTGTCATTTTGTGAACAAAAAAACAAAAAAATCATCAAAAAGATTTCCAACCATCATTTTTTGTAAGTATTTTAAATATAGCCCTTCGCCTGCAGTACCCTATTTCCTATTGTTTTGCAGGAATTCCTAAAACTTAACTGCACTGCAAGAAATTAAATGTTAGCGCTATTTACGGTAATTATGTCAACTAGTTCCACTAAACCTGGTTGTTTAAATATAAAAAGTAATAATTAAAGAAAAAAATGACTAAGTTTGCTCATACACAACGATCATGCGCAGACAGGAAGCACAGTATTTTTCAATAGAAAGAAAGGTATGTTTTAATTAAAGTGGTAAAGCTGATTTAATTAGAATTATTTAGTTACTTTAATAGCTTATATTACGTATTTAATACAACAAAATTATGTTTGTTTTGCTTCGTAAAGTCTAACTAAAAGCACTACCTTTAAGATTAACAATACTGTGTGATTCAAATTACGCCAAATGTCATTTAGTAGAGAGTGACAATTGAAATAAAAAACAAACAAACATTTTAGTTACACATTATTCGTTTAGACAATCTGCCACAGGTTCAACACAAAGACGACCGACCATTAAGCTCACGTAAGGACAAATCAGCATATTGCATTTACCTAACAGGAATATTGTTGGACTTTAGGAGCGAACCAGAGAACCCAGAGGAAGCAGCACATGACTGGGGCGATCATGTAAAGTCACTCAGGAAGACCCCAGCTGCAGTGGTGTTTGCTCAATAGGGGGTGCTAGGGTGCTGCCCCACCACTCAAACCACTCACCATATTACAAGGAAGACTTAAAAAATTAAATACAAATGAAATAATAAAATAAAATTATTTTGAAATATATGTATATATTTAGTTGTGTTAGATAAATATTTTATAGTTAATGATAAGTTAAGCTGTTTCTTTCAAAAACGTTGTCTCTGATTGGTGACGTATTTCCGCCCTGGGGGCACAAGAATCTTTGTCCATAGACTCTCGTTAAAAGTTGTACATGTGCAGTAAGCTCCTCTTCAATACAAGAGATAAAAGATTTTGGGCGCAACACTCCAGCGCCCTGAGTACCGGCGCACTGTATGGATCATGCTTCCGGTCCCGCCGTCCCAGTACAAATTTATTTATGTATTTATTTTTATTTTATTTTTAAAATGTTTTTTGTCCCTGAACAGATTGTGCAGTGACACTCAAAACCAGGCTATGTATGAAAAATTATTTAGCTGTCAGACAGCAGTGCATTTAAGAGGTGCAGTATTAATTTTGATCAGGCAAAGAGTTGGGAGACCCGCTGCATTCGGCGCTGGGTTTGTCTATGCTGGCTGAGGTCCTCTGTAGAAAGGAGAGAGGACTGGTCTGGAGGCGGCATGGAAAATTCTAACGGCAGTCATCATTAATGTGCCTCACTTACTGTGTTTACACAGGTAAGGAATGAGTTTATAAAGCGCGCAGATGTGTGCATGATTGAGCAAACTGATGAGTCTGTGATGCGTGTGTGTGAAATGTCTTGGACATACTGTATATATTTTGATATATGTCTATTTTGGAGTTATAGCCCCACCCCCGGTGGAAATTCCACCATCAGCCACTGCCCAGCTGAGACTCAAACCCTGAGAAGCAACAGAGCTGACCCCTGCACTGCTGCACTGCCCTGTATAAGAGTGTGTGGAATAAATTCATCAATGAGTGGCATTCCTTGAAGGATTTCCTTTCTCGTTTTATCTTAGATTTATAGATTTTGGATTTTATTCGGATTTTTATGGTGTCACTTTTTTGTTATTGTGTTAAGTTTCTGTTTTTTACAGCCTTGCGTTCCAACATTTTTCAGAATAGATCTTTAAAGAAAATTCTCAGTGACCTGTTTGCGCTCAAATTATACAACGGCTTCAACTCTCAGCTACTGCCACAGCAAATTTAGCTCTTCTTCTTTCAGCTGCTCCCTTCTTCAGGGGTCGCCACAGCGAAACAACGCACAAAGACTAGACCAATATTTTTACACTGGATGTCCTTCCTGAAACAACCACAGACCACAGAGCTACCACAGCCCTCTGTGTGGAGCAGAGAGCTGCATCTAGGGAGCAGATGGTGGGGGTTAAGGGCTTTGCTCAAGGGCTCAGAGTGGGGCAAGTGAGGGTGGAAGCAGGTGTGGATGTTTCACCTTTCCCACCGATATTTAACAACTTTAGCTCAATATTTGAAAAAACAAACTGACTTAGACATTTTTCTGTTTGCTTAAGTAAATTGTCGTTGGTGGCCATCTTGAACTGGGTTGACACCAAAAGTCAACCATTTGTAAATTCAATTATTACATTTTGAGATTGTTGCCTAAAAATTTGCTGCTACTGAACTCTACACAAACTAATCTGGAAGTATTGCACAGCAGACAGGTAAACTACCGCAGAAAGGGAGAAAAAGTAAAAAAGTGATTACAAAAATCCTCATCAGATCCTTCCTGCATACTCGTCCTTCTTCATCCACTAGAGGAAGACTCCACCGGGCGTGCGCTGATCGTGCCAAAAAGCAGAGTGTTTGCAGCCTTGGGCAAACTGCTGAGGACTGAGAACCAACACCGACACAGATACCCTCGTGAAGCCTGAAGGTCACCTGACTTATTCCCCCGAGCCTCCTAACCTTTCTCATCGCAATGACAATACATGCATTGAGTGTAATAAAGCAAAACAAATCCTAAGCTCCTTCGTTCTCAACCCCGGGGCTTTACGGCTCCATTTGAGGAGGTGATTACAGCCCATGGTGCATCAGGGTGTGCTTGTCTCATTTCACACTAACAACATCCCCGGACTGGTGGGCT